GAGAGGAGGATACAAAGGAGGCCAGAGTGGCTGCAGAGCTGGGGATGGGAGGAGGGGAGGCAGGACCGGGGCTGCAGGCTGCACTGGTACCCACCGCTGCGTGACAACATGGCCCTAACTCACAGCTCACAGCCGCAGACGTTACTGTCTCACAGGCTGTGTGGACGCAGATCCAGGCGGGGTCGGTGGGGGCCTCTGCCCCAGGTGTCTCGGGAGGCTGGGGCTGGGGGCTCCACCGAGGCTCTGCTGGGCAGGACCCACCTCTGAGCTCAGTCACGTGTTATTGGTGCTTTCACCTTGGACTGAGGGCCTTAGTCACTCTGTGACTGTTGGCCCAGACTCTCTGCTGGTTCCTTGCCATGCAGGCCTCTCTATCAGGCAGCTCATAACAGCAGAACCTGATTCCGCAAAGTGAAGGATAAAGATGGGGTGAAGGGGCAAACAAGAGAAGACAAGCAAGACAGGAGTCACAATTTTTAATAAATCTTAGTAGTGATCTCACATCACTTTTGCTGTATTTACTGGTTAGAAGCTTGTCACCTCTGAGCTCATTTGGCTGTTACTGGCTCCTGCCCTTTGGGCTGAGGGTCTCAGTACTTTTTCTTTCCTCCCTTCCTCCCTTCCTCCCTTCCTTCCTTCCTTCCTTCCTTCCTTCCTTCCTTCCTGCCTTCTTTCTTCTTCTTTTTTTTTTTTTCTGACTGGCTGCTGGCTGGATCCGAACCCTGACCTTGGCTCAGTTCTGTTCTGTCTGTTGGCCGGGACTCTGTTTCCTCACTGCTGGGGACTGTCCATAGCGCAGCTCATACTATCTGAGCTTGCTTCCCTAGAGAGAGGGAGGGGGGAGAGAGAGAGAGAGAGAGAGAGAAGGCAGGAGAGACAGAGCCAGACCGTAGGCACAGACTTCTCGTAACTCAATCTCGGAAGTGACAACTCATCGGTTTTGCCGGATTGTTTTCCTTAGAGGACAGACACTGCGTCCAGTCCACCCTCGAGGGATGGGATTACACAGCCTCTTGGGTCCAGGAGGTGGAGATCGCTGCCCCCACACAGGCAGAGAGGAGGCGCTTGGGCCCCATCTAAATATCACAAGCAGCCCCTGCAAGGTTTGGGCCACAGGGTACGATTTCTGAGTGTGGGTTAATTTCAACTTCCCATAGGGCGGGTTGTGCTGCTGCAACTGTGTGCAGTTAGCACATGGCGGGGGAGGGGTGCAGTCAGCTCCAGCAGAACTCGGAACCTGGTTGCCAGGCACCCACAGTCCAGACACAGCCCCCTACCCAGCTCACTTGGCCGGAGTCACTGGAGAGAGACACATGCTTTCCTGTTGTGTCCCGATGTGCCGAGGCTCAGACCTCAGGAAACCCCAGAGCGGGAGCCTGTGCCAACGCCTCAGGCGCTGGATCAGCCCTCACCTCCGATGCTGGTGGCCTTTCGTCCGGAGGAACCCAAAGGTAACATGGGGGCCGGCCTGTGGCTCACTCGGGAGAGTGTGGCGCTGATAACACCAAGGCCCTGGGTTTGGATCCCTATATAAGTATGGCCGTAGCTCACTTGGGAGAGTATGGTGCTGACAACACCAAGTCAAGGATTAAGATCCCCTTACCAGTCATCTTTAAACAAAAAAAAAAACAAAGGTAACACGGGGCAGCCAGGCCAGGGCAGCCCAGGCCAGGCCACCAACAGCCTCTAGCTGGTGACAGGTGTGACCCACTCCACAGTCCCGACAGGAATCACAATTTTTAATAAATCTTAGTAGTGATCTCACATCACTTTTGCTGTATTTATTGGTTAGAAGCTTGTCACTAGGGAGGAGGAGATTGTTCAATGACTTGGGTACCAGGAGGCAGGGATCGCTGGGAGTCATTGCAGAGGCTGCCAAATACATGGCCTGAGATGAAGCCCTTGGGTCTGACTGTAAATATAATGGGAAGCCGTTGGAAGGTTTATGCCAGAGGGGATGATATCTGAGTTCTGCTTAATTTTCAACCCTCTTGTTGTGCAGACTAGGAAATGAGGCCAAGAGGAGGGGAAATGACTTTCCTAGGATCACAGTACCAAGTCCGGGCTTGTTTTGAGTTGTGTTCCATGTTATATATGTCACCCTTTCTTGTAGTTCTTCCATCTGGAAGTTTTTGCATTAGCTACATGGGACATCAGCCCACAGGTTTTGTTTTGTTTTGTTGTTTTTTAATAAAAGATGACCAGTAAGGGGATCGTAACCCTTGGCTTGATGTTGTCAGCACCACAATCTTCCAAGTGAGCTAACCGGCCATCCCTATATAGGGATCTGAACCCGGGGCCTTGGTGTTATCAGCACTGCACCCTCCCAAGTGAGCCACAGGCCGTCCCAGCCCACAGGTTTTATAGATAATATCTCACATGCACATGAGGATGTCCCTAGGAAGTAGATGCTAGAATGATCCCCATTGTGCAGGTGGGGAGACTGGGAGGACCTGACAGGCACAAGGACTTGGTCCAGGGTTACTGAACTGGTAGCAGGGAGAAGCTAGGTGACCCAAATGACTTTACCTCCTGAACCTGGTGGCTGGGATTATGGGAACCCAGTGGTTGGTTGTCCTGGCTCCCGGGGTAGCAATGCGCACTGGAAGCTCCTACCCTGGGCAAGCCCTCCTCACCTGCCATCACCCTCCTGTTTCCCTTCTCCTCCCTCAATTTTTATCAACATCTGAAGATAGAGAAGTAGCAAAGGAGAGAATTTGTTCGTTCACCCAGTTGGTACATGTTTCCTGGACCCAGGCCATGCCAGAGGAGGCAATAAGAACAATCCCAAAAGTTGTCCAAGGAAGGGGCAGTGTTCCTCTGGGAAGTGGGAGGGTGCAGAGAGAGATTCCCGAAGGAGGTGTGCTGTGGTCAGGGTTGACTCGAGAAAGGCAGGTGCAATGACCGCGGTGCGGCCGATGACTGGGGCTGGTGTCTGTCGTCCTAGTGGGCTACAGTAACAAAGGACCACAAACTGGGTGACTCAACACAACAGAAATTGATTCTCACACAGTTCTGGAGGCCAGAAGTCCAACATCAAGGTGGCAGCAGGGCTGTGCTCTCTCTGAAGCCTCTAGGAAAGGATCCTTCTTTGCCTCTTCCAACTTCAGTGGTTGCCTGCGATCCTTGGTGTCAGAGCTTTGTCTTATAGACATATCACCCCAGACTCTGCCTGCATCTTCCCATGGCCACCTCTGTGTGTCTGTGTCCAATTTTCCCTCTTCTCCTAAGGACACCAGTCATTGGATTAGGGTCCACACTAATCCAGTGTGACCTTGTCTTCATTACATCTGCAAGGACTCTATTCCTCAATAAGGTCTCACGCACAGCCGTCAGGAATCTTTTGGGGAACACAATTCAGCCCATAACAGGGGTATTGGGGGACTGGGGAGCAGCAACTTAGCCTCCAGCTGGGGGGTGGGGGTGGGGCGTGAGTGGAGCCATGGTCCCTGGCTCTCATGTTCTGGCGGCAGCACCAGTAGGTGGCACTGTGACCTCCCTGCAGGCGCCCCAGCACTGCCTTAAGCTCCAGCAGACAAAGGTCTCACCTTCTAGTTGCGAGGAGACTGTCTACTCTCAACTGTAAACAGACCAGGAGCACAGTCATTTCATGGGTGGCACTTGTTGAAGGAAATCAAACCAGGTGGGGCCATGAGGTGGTGACTGGATGGCAACTTTGCACTGGAGGCTGGAAGGGGATGGGGGGCTGCCTCCTTGAGGAGGTGACGTGGATGGCAAGGAGGACCATGTACTGTGGAGCGGGTGTCAGAGGAAGGAACAGAAAGGAAGGCAGGGGCGAGGGGTAGGGGGTCTGGGGAGGCGGCGGAGCCAGACCCACAGGGGTCAGGAGTGTGCAGTCTGCCTCATTCCAACCTGCAAGCTGAGCTGGCCCTGCTCCACCCTTTCCAGGGGCCCTGCGGCTAGATGACACCTGCAGTTTGCAAACAGCTCTCCTGTTACTGCAGTGCAAGCAAGGCAGCTATGGAGACCAGTGGGGAGGGGTGGGCTGTCCATGCAGGTCATCACTTGAAGGGTCCTTTCCCCAAAGAGTCCCTGCCCGAAGTGGGCAGTGCTGCACCCACAGGCTCAGCATGGTTCTCTTAGATGCCCCTTTGATATACAAGGGGTGGGGCAATGTGGGGCTGAGGAGGGGCCCAGTTCCTGACCATGGAGTGGGCTCGCGTGGACATCATTGAGTGCCCAGCGAGTTGCTGATCCAGCAGCAGAAGTCATTTCTTACTTTACTGTCATCCACACACACATACATACACACACCCCTGAACCCCTCAAGGCCCCTTCCACCACCTCAGCCACTAGTCTTTGACGGTGTGGCATGGGCAGCAGCTCTTCTAGAGAAGACACAGGCTGGGAGCCTAGGGACCTGTGCAGTGGCAGCTCTGCCACTAGTGGCATAGTCGGACACCACCACATGCCAGCCACAGGGCCGTGCTCCGCAGTCCTTCCCAGGCTATTCCCAAGCCTCTGTCCTGTGCTGTGCAGTTGCCTGGTGAGGACAGCCGTAGCGCCTTCCGTGTGCCTGGCCTTAAGCTATATAGTGTCTCGTGCCTGCCCAGCGCTCTGCCAGATGGGTGCCATTGCCATCCTCACTTCCGGGTGGGGAAACTGAGGCACCTCCAGTGGGGAAGGGACTCCCACAGCTAGGTGTGGCAGGTCTGTCAGGGGCCCGTCCCTGTAGGCAGGCAAGCCCAGGAGAGGCCAGGTGCCAGGCTGGGACCAAATTCCTTCCGATTACAGTGGACTTCCAAGGGTCAGGGCTAGGCTGGGCTGGGCAGGGCAGGGCTGGAAGGCCCCGAGGTGGTGGTTAACGGTGGGAATGGAGATGTAAACAGAGCTAATAAGCCCCTTTCGTCCGCTTCCTGCTTTAATGAAGGCCTTGGACTCTGGTCTCTACATTTTCTCGGGGTTCTTGGATTCTGAACCTCAAAGAGTTTTCTTTAAGGCCAGAGTTGGTTAGGCCCCCTTGGGGGTGGGGGATGAGATTATGGACCCTCAGTGTCCCCTCCCAGAGCAGCCATGCCAGGGTGAGGACATAGAGAGGAAAGGGCATGGGAAGCATTGTGGCACCCCCCTAAAAACAAGCCCAGAAGAAGGGAGAGCTCCCATGGCAACTCAGCAGTTGCTTGTCAACTGCAGGTCCCCAAAATACTTGCCTGCAGGAAGGCTCAGGACTGGGGGCTTTCCAGTGGGCTTTCTGGTGCCTCACACCCCCAACCCCTGTGGGGGCTCACTCACCCCTGGCCCTAAGAAGAGATTCCTTGAGGCTCAAAAACCAAGAGCCCTGAGAAAAAGCAGAGACCAGAGTCCAAGGCCTTCACTAGAGTGGGGAGACCAGTGGGCCTTGTTGCTGCGGTGCTTCTTCGGGGCTCCCCATGGTTGAGCCACCCCCACCCACACCACCCCCTAGATCCTTCCTGAGGGAAACCCCAATCTGCTCTCCCCTCCACATCACGCCATTCGGCTTGGCACCTGGCAACGGAGGCCATTTCCTGGATACCTGAGTGACAGTTGACAGTGGCAGAATGTCAGAAAATGCAGGGTTAGAAGGCACAGTGATGGGGCCACCGCCAGCAGGGGGAGGGGGACAGGCATGGGGCCTTGTGCTTTGTGGCCCCTGCAGCCACAGGCTCCCTGGGCCTGGGCAGATGGCACGCCAGGATGTGGCAGGGGTGGATAGATTCCCCGGAATAGGGGGCCAAAATTGGTCTGGGCCAACATTGAGACTAACTAGCTGAGTGACTGTAGCATGTCCCTTCTCGTCTGTGGCCCACTTACCCCTCCCTGTTCACCATTCAGTGCATAAACTTTGCCCTGTGAGTTATGTCACCTCCTGGGGCCTTGGGGCAGAAAGGTGAGGGGCCAGGACCAGGCCAGCCACTACCCTTCCTCCTCCACCTGCCTGCACCCATCTGGGCAGCCAGGCCCCTGTCCTCATGTGAGGCAGGTGGAGTCAGTTAAGTGCATTGGCTTTGGAGCAGGATGCCTGGGTTTGAATCCTAGCTCGGTGCTTATTACTGGGTGTCCTAGAACAGGCACTAAACCCCACTGAGCCTCACTGTCCCCATCCCCACCCCCCATGAGGAAAATACGCACTTCCCGGTGGCTGTGAGGATGGAAGGAAATCGGCCCTTTGGGCTCCCACAGAGGCTGCTTTAGTCTGTGGGTGCCGACCCGGTGCCCAGAGCTGGGATAGGGACGCAGACGAGGGGTCCCGCCTGGAGGAGCCAGGGGTGCAGCACTGTGGAGGAGGTCATGTGGGGGCAGACAACCTGCTGGTAGGACTTTGGAGCCAGGAATGGGTTGAGACCAGCTGCCCTCAGATGCTCTCTCTGGAGATGGCAGGGAGGGCTGGGACCGCTGGTGACCTACCCCACCCCACCCCCCGGGGGCGGGGGGTGGTTCCCAGTGTCCTCAGGGAGCCAGGATTCTAGTGTGACCTAGATCATCCCATTCGCTCACCGTGTGACCTTGGGCCGTAACCTCACCTCTCTGAGCCTCCCTGCCCCAGCTGTCAGACAGGGAAGGGCGGCGCGCCCAGCCCCGCAGTTGGGGAGGCTCCCAGGGGATCTTCTGCCCTGCACCGGGCACGTGCGTTCATCCGGGGGCAGCGGCTCGGTCCGTCCCCAGCCACTGCAGAGGGGAGGCGGGGCGAGGGCGGCACAGACAATGGCCTGGGCCCTGGCGGAGGCGGCGTCCACCCGCCGGGCGGGGCGCTGGGCAGGGCCGCCCGACTCCTGCCCGACGCCCGGGTGAGCCCACAGCCCCAGCCGGGAAGGAGGCTGCAGGAGGCCGGACGGAACCAAGACCCGGAGCGCATCCCCTCACCCACCCCTGCGTGGGCGCCGGGGACACCCCCACCCCCACCCTCTGCGCCACTCTGGCCTCCTCCCCCTGCCGGGTGGGTGCATAACTAACTGAATCCTCCCGGGCAGGATAAGAGGGGGCTGGAGGGCACCCCGGGTCCTTCCTTCTTTCTGAGTTGGGATCCTGGACACCCCCTGAGATTCCAAGTGTGCCCATCTGACCTTGGTGTACCTGCCAGGGTGTGGAGGGGGTGGGCCTGTCCAGTTGAAAGAAAGGACCCGTGGCCAATAAGTGGCCATGAGTCCAAGAACTTCCCCACTTCTACCCTTCCCCCTCTTGGGACTCCATCCTGACCCCCTCTCCAAGGGAGCCTGGGGGGTGGGATGGAAGGTGTCATGCCCTTTCTGTGTTAATGTTAAGCTCAAAACTGGGAGGGTGAGAATGTGGGGGCTAAGGGGGAGGGTGCTTAAGCCCTTGGGGCTGCCACCCCTTGTACCAGATCCCCCCCTGAGGGATTCTTACCCCTGCCCCACCCCTGCTGGGCTGTGGCCTGAGGGAGGGGAGAGCTCAGCCCTGATTACCCAGATCATCTGTCAGGGAGGGAACTGAAGCCCAGGGAGGTCAGGGCTGTCTAGAGGTCAAGGGGAAAGAGATGTCAGAGGGCTGGGTGGTGGCCCTGGCTTAGACTTGCAGGTCCCAAACAGGTGGGCTCCCAAAGATCATCCCATTCGCTCACCGTGTGACCTTGGGCCGTAACCTCACCTCTCTGAGCCTCCCTGCCCCAGCTGTCAGACAGGGAAGGGCGGCGCGCCCAGCCCCGCAGTTGGGGAGGCTCCCAGGGGATCTTCTGCCCTGCACCGGGCACGTGCGTTCATCCGGGGGCAGCGGCTCGGTCCGTCCCCAGCCACTGCAGAGGGGAGGCGGGGCGAGGGCGGCACAGACAATGGCCTGGGCCCTGGCGGAGGCGGCGTCCACCCGCCGGGCGGGGCGCTGGGCAGGGCCGCCCGACTCCTGCCCGACGCCCGGGTGAGCCCACAGCCCCAGCCGGGAAGGAGGCTGCAGGAGGCCGGACGGAACCAAGACCCGGAGCGCATCCCCTCACCCACCCCTGCGTGGGCGCCGGGGACACCCCCACCCCCACCCTCTGCGCCACTCTGGCCTCCTCCCCCTGCCGGGTGGGTGCATAACTAACTGAATCCTCCCGGGCAGGATAAGAGGGGGCTGGAGGGCACCCCGGGTCCTTCCTTCTTTCTGAGTTGGGATCCTGGACACCCCCTGAGATTCCAAGTGTGCCCATCTGACCTTGGTGTACCTGCCAGGGTGTGGAGGGGGTGGGCCTGTCCAGTTGAAAGAAAGGACCCGTGGCCAATAAGTGGCCATGAGTCCAAGAACTTCCCCACTTCTACCCTTCCCCCTCTTGGGACTCCATCCTGACCCCCTCTCCAAGGGAGCCTGGGGGGTGGGATGGAAGGTGTCATGCCCTTTCTGTGTTAATGTTAAGCTCAAAACTGGGAGGGTGAGAATGTGGGGGCTAAGGGGGAGGGTGCTTAAGCCCTTGGGGCTGCCACCCCTTGTACCAGATCCCCCCCTGAGGGATTCTTACCCCTGCCCCACCCCTGCTGGGCTGTGGCCTGAGGGAGGGGAGAGCTCAGCCCTGATTACCCAGATCATCTGTCAGGGAGGGAACTGAAGCCCAGGGAGGTCAGGGCTGTCTAGAGGTCAAGGGGAAAGAGATGTCAGAGGGCTGGGTGGTGGCCCTGGCTTAGACTTGCAGGTCCCAAACAGGTGGGCTCCCAAACTCCTCCACACCTCCATCGCCTCCTCTGTGGACCCTGAGAGGTGTGTGCGATGTTCCCAAGGCAGCTGGCACTGTCACACGCAGGCCTCCTGCAGGTGGATAGATGGCCGTAGGACCCACCTGCCATGATTGCCCTTGGGAAACCGGGGTGTGGGCAGGAGGTAGAGACACTTGAAGGCCCTGGGTTGAATACACGCATTTTTCCAGATGGGAGACTAGGGCCCAGAGAACTTAAGTAAATTGACAAGGTCTTATGCTATGGGGGGACCCCCTGGATCCCCTTCTTCCCTGAGGCCAAGTTCTAGGCCCCTGACCCTGGTTGCTCAGGGTTGGAGTTCAAGGGTAAGGCAGTCTGCCTGGCCTGAGGCACTGGGTAGCCAGGGAGGTGACAGCTGGGGGCTGCCGGCAGTGGGCAGGCAGGTAGTGCCCAGTGTGGGAGGGTTGAGCTGGCAGCACCACCCACCTGGATCCCCTGCCACCTCGCAGCAGACACTTGAAGTTCTTGGGGATTCCATGAGAGTTTCTTTTCCAGCTGCTAGAGCTAGGAGATCCCTGCAGGGAGCATGTGCCTCCTCCCCTTTCAACATCCCTGCCAGGAGCAGGCACTGGGTGGGCACAGAAGCAGGCATGCAGGCCCTGAGGGAGGGAGCTCACTGGGTCTGGGGACATGGAGGTGGCCATCATTGTCTGGCAGATATGCAGGGAGTAGGGTGTCCATCGAGCCTCTGGGCCTGCAAGAGCGGGCTGGGTCTGCTGTCCTGTGGCGTGGGATTGTGTGTACATTCTTGCATGTGTGTGTCTTGGGAGCACCTCCCTGCCTTTGGGTGACTGTACCCATATTTGAGTGAATACATGACCTCATGGGTCGTTGTGTGCCAGCGATGTCTGTGTGCTCAGGCCTGACAAACAAGCACATATGTGAAGGGATGCATGTGGCTGTGTGTGGGGACCGTGGTTGGTACCTGGGGAAAGAACATCATGTCACAAGGTGTGCATGTGTGTGTGTGTACGAGTATTTTTGCGTTTAGCTTTTTCAAAGCACAAGGCCCCAGCCTTGACCATGAGGAAGACTGAGAGTTCATAGCCCAACCCCTTAGCCCCTGAGCCAATTTTCTCATCTGTTAATGGATTGATGACCATGCCCAGCTCAGAGTTGTGGTGGCTGGAAAGTGCTTAGTGCAGTACCTGGCACACACAGTCACTCTGTTGCTTGACAGTGGCATAGAGACCTGAACAGCTCTTGGAGGGTCCCAGGCAGGGGAGGGCACCTGGTGCCTTGCCGTCCCCTTGTCGGGCATCCCGTGAGCAGGTGGAGGCAGAGAGATACCCTTGAGCCTCGCCTTCTAGGGGAGGGACCAAGGAAGGAGCAAAGACCAAGGGCTGGCAGAGGAAGACAGTGGCGGGAGAGTGGGAAAAGGCATGTCACTCAGCCCCAGAGCCCTGGTGAGCCAGGGCATTGCCTGCCCCCAGCCTGGGGGAGTTTTCTTGCTGGAAAAGGACTGTGGGAAAGAGGGCAGCGGGCACCAGCCCCACCACCTCCTGGCAGCCAGCTGGAGCCCTGAGCCCTCTCCAGAGGCCAGGGCAGCTCAGGAAGTCCCCTCTGAAAGGGCAGCCCTGCTTCCCAGGCCCTCAACCCTCTCAGGCAGGCCGGTGGCAGTACCGGGCACGCAGTGTCCCTGGCACAGTAGGCAGTCTCCCACACCACAAGGACCCGTTTGTCCTGATTCCCCTGGCCCTGGAGCACTGGGTGACCAGGACCTGCTGGGCACAGGGGCCTGACAGTGGGTTCAGCCCATATCCCCCCACCTCACCAGGCCCTGGCTGTGCCTTAGAGAGGGTTTCTTTGCCCAGGCCCACGCCACATCAGAGCAATCTCTACTTATCCAATGAGCAGACCCATTCCCCAAGAATTGCTCCTGGACCAGGAATTTAGGAAGGGGAAAATCCCTTATGTTGAACCAGACCTGACCTGACCATCTACCTCCCCGCCTCCCACACCCCAGGGCAAGCTAGCTTCTGGGAACCTCCAGGCCCTGCTTCTAAGAAAAAGGGCTCTCACTTCCCAGAAAGCCTGCTGCCTCCTTCCTCCCAGTTCCCCTGCCTGGGCCTGCCTCCCGCCTCTGCTCCAGGCCTGGCTCTCTGCAGAGCACTTTAATGGGAGCCAGGTGGGCAGAGATGGCCTGGCCCCTCCCATGCCCTTCCTCCTTGCCCCCTCTCAGCTTCCACCCCAGCCTCACCACCTCCTCCAAGAAGCTTTCCTGGTGATCTTCCCACAAAGAACTCTGAATATTTTATTTTATTTTATTTTTTTAAAGATGACCGCTAAGGGGATCTCAACCCTTGGCTTGGTGTTGTCAGCACCACGCTCAGCCAGTGAGCAAACCGGCCATCCCTATATGGGATCCGAACCCGTGGCCTTGGTGTTATCAGCACCGCACTCTACCGAGTGAGCCACAGGCCGGCCCTAACTCTGAATATTTTAGAGTCCAGCAACTTTGAAGCTGGAGGAACCGTCTGGGACATGGAGGCCACTTGTTCATACAGGTGTTTATTGAGAACCTCCTATGTGCCTAGTACCATTCTAGGCATCAACACATCAGGGGACAGAGCTCCTGCTCTCAAGGAGCGTATGTGAAAACTTCCCTCCCCTTCCGATTTTAAAAAGAGGGGACGCTGGGTTAAGATGCCAGTGCTCTTTCCGCTTGTGTGATGCAGGTGTGTGTGCACGTGTGCGCACAATCCAGGGGACATTCATCCATTTACTTGTTGGCAGTCATGAGAGCTCACTGTGGGCCAGCGTTATTCCAGGCTCTTGGTATGGAAGGGGGAACAAAACAGACAGGCCTGCTGCCCCTAGGAAGTTTTCAGCCTGATTAGGGGAGGAGAGGGCATGAAAGGATCCAGTGGTGATCAGTTGTTTCCAGCGTGCCTCCTTGAGTGCTTCCCGAGCTGCTCCTTAGCTTGCCTGGCCGGCATCTGCAGCAGCGCCTCCAGCATGCCCAGTGCCCGTATCCTGTCCTGTTTTTTCTTCTACAGCATTCTCACCTTCTAACATGTATTTTGTTATGGTGAAGGAGCAGAGGTGATTATTATCTGTTGCTCTCCCTAGTGTAACACCAGCACTTGAACAGTGCCTGGCACCTAGTAGGTGTACAGGAAATTGTGTGAGCTGGCTATGTGTATGCTGTAGTGCTCCAGGGCCCCTCTGTGATACTAGATCCTTATCTACTTAAGTACAGAAATTGACATTGTTTAGAAACGTAATCTGACATTGCTGCGACATTTTGGTTGCATTTTACAGAAGTATCAACAGGTCCTAAGTTAAAAATGAGAACCACTGGTTCTTCTCCACGGAGAGCATTCTAAGCTACCTTGGGGTATCATCTTTTGAACACGTGGCATATGCCAGGCCCTATCCTAAGTGCTTTCCATCCAGTGTTTCATTTCATTGTGCAACATTTTTTTTTTATAAAGATGACTGGTAAGGGGATCTTAACCCTTGACTTGGTGTGGTCAGCACCACGCTCTCTCTCCCAAGTGAGCTAACTGGCCATCCCTATATAGGGATTCAAACCCATGGGCTTGGTGTTATCAGCACCACACTCTCCCAAGTGAGCCACGGGCCAGCCCTGTACAAACTTTTCGAAGCAGAATTATCCCCACTTGTGGGCCAGGACCGAAGCTCAGCCAGGGAATGAAACTGTGCAGCTTCACCCAGCCAGTAAATGACAGGCTGGGAGTTTGGCTGCTGCTTCTACCCAAAGCCCCAGCTCAACAGCTGCTGCTCTAATCCATGCAGTTGGAACTTGGGCTCCTAGTGGAGCCAGACCTGCGGGACAGGTCCAGGGTGGGGGAGGAGAACGTGTCCTTGGCTGTCATGGAGGGGCAGCTGCCGGTGCTCTTGACAGTGCTGGATCTGTTGGGTTCAAAGCCAGCGAGAGCGGATGGGGCAGGGCCCGGATTCTTGGATCCTCAGTTTCTTGGCAACCTGTATGACTCAGTGGGCTAATAAAAGGGACCGACGGGCAGGCAGCCAGTGCAGGGGAGCCCTGTGGTGGGTGAATCAGCCAACCGCTGAGTTACTGTTCTGCTGGGGTGGGGCCAAGCCTCAGCTGCCAAAATACTCATAGCCTCTATTCACCTTTCTCCCCCAGCTCCCCATGCAGCCCACCTTTCCTATACCTCAGCAGGTGCTTCTTATGACTCTGCTGTTCCCAAGGTAACCAGG